GACGTGTTGCCCTCAAGGCAGGAGAATCCTTAGATCTCAGGCCACCAACCACGACCATGGCCACAAAGAGCAGACCAGATGCTGGGCACTGCAGTCTGTCCTGCACAGGGTGTGAAGAGCTGCATTCCAGACAAAGAAGACACAGCTGAGACTGGTCATTTTGCCCTGTGGCTAGGGTTAGCTGCCAGCCACTCCCCCACTGGGGCCAGGGTTGCTGGCCAGCCACTTTCCCCACAGCTCTTTCCCCTGACAAAGTGGTGACAGGTGGCAGAGGCAGTTGTCAGCCAGGCCCAGGCCACTTTGCTCTGTGGCATCGGTGTGCAAACTCTGATCTAGGCAGCTTCCCAAGTGGCCCCACACTGTTCCTGCCATCCTCCCGCTGAGGGACAGCCAACCCCACACCCCCTCCCTCCTTGCCAAGCCCACACTAACCAAACGTAACTCCCCACCTGGGAATCCTAACTCTCCACCTGGGAATCTGCAGGCCTCCCTGTATCTCCAGACTGCAAGAGCTTCTCCACCTCAGATTTCTGACAGGCTACCCCCCAGCCTTGAGTAGGGGGCTGCTCAGCACAGACACATACTTGCAAGCAGGCTGCCTGGGCCTGGGGCAGAGGGCGGTCCTGACACAGTGGGCCCAGCTCCCTGGGGTCCTGTCACGTATGGGGTAGGGAGAAGCCTCCCCAAGCCCCAAGTAGACAGTGACAGGGCAAAACTGGAATTCATTCAGCCCCGCCTTGTCCCCAGGATGCAGAGGGGAGCCACCATAGAAGTCATGGCCACACTGGGGCATAGCCCTTAGTGGAATGGAACCAGGTCCAGCAAAGTAAAGAGAGGCTGGCCAGGCCTGGCAAAGAGCTCTGCCCATGCCATGGAGGGGCCTGGCAGGAGTCCAAGCCCTTTGGGCTGACACCGGGGGCTCATTCATTAATTCAGTTCAAGCTGAAGAGGGGCAGGGCAGACACCTGCACCCAGGTGGACAGGGGCACTGAGAACTCAGATGTGCTGGCCTAGCAGCAATGGGCCTTGGTAGCGACAGAGTCCCCCAAGAAATCTGCAGAGGCAATCGGCACAGGGGCCCCACGTAGGGCGGTAAAGGATAGAATTGCAAGAATGGCCCTGGATTCTGTGTGTCTTTTTATTTTTTGGAGACATAGTCTCAAGCTGTCACCCTGGGTAGAGTGCTGTGGTGTTACAGCTCATAGCAACCTCGAACTCTTGGGCTTAAGCGATCCTCTTGCCTCAGCCTCCCAAGTAGTGAGGACTACAGGTGACCGCCATAACACCTGGCTATTTTTGGTTATAGTTGTCATTGTTGTTTGGCGAGTCCAGGCAGGATTCGAACCCACCAGCCCCAGTATATGTGGCTGGCACCCTAGTCACTGAGCTACAGGCACTAAGTCTGTGTGTCCACTTTCACTGTACCCGTAGGAGGCCACTGGGAGAACAACCCAAGGCGCCTGCTGCTTTGAGAACTAGGTCCCCACAGTGTGCTCCTTTAAAAAAAAAAAAAGGAAGAAAAGAATAATTCCAAACCCTTACCAGGGACGAGCCCTACCTGCCCACCCTGCAGCCTTGTCCTTCTTTCAAGCCCATCCCAGAAACCCCTTCCCTGGATACCTATTTGACAGCACCTTCTGGCTACTGGCCCTCCCTGGCCACTTCACTGCCCGAATACTGTCACCACCAGGAGTCCCCAGTTGTCTCCCTCCTAGGGTCTAGGGAGGTGGGAAGAGTCTCGGCAGGGCCCCTTGCTGAGTGGGTCCATGACCTGGGCCAATCCTTGGCTCTGCACTTCAGGATGAGATGTCAGCCCTCAGGTTGTTTCATGAGGCTATGAGGCCAGTGAGTGAAGGTGCGATGCCATATGACAGCCTGGCGGCCACTTGCCCACAACTGGGAACTATGGTGCCCTCAAGAATACGACCTCTTGGCCCAGCACCTGTGGCTCAAGCGGCTAAGGCGCCAACCACATACACCTGAGCTGGTGGGTTCAAATGCAGCCCGGGCCCGCCAAACAACAATGATGGCTGCAACCAAAAATTAACCAGGCATTGTGGCGGGCGCCTGTAGTCCCAGCTACTTGGGAGGCTGAGGCAAGAGAATCGCTCGAGCCCAGGAGTTGGAGGTTGCTATGAGCTGAGATGCCACGGCACACTACCAACGAAAACAGAAAGAGACTCTGTCTCAAAAAAAAAAAAAAGAATACAACCTCTCCCCTACACCCCAGCCTCACATGGCATCTCACCTGCAGCTCTACTTTACCTTGGCAGCGAGGGCCCAGCCACCTGCCAAGGCCTACTTGAGCTCCTGTGCTCCCAGCATGGAGGTCAGTCCAGTCAGAGCTGCTGGCTTTGTCCGGTTTTCATTCTTCCCACTGGCCCCATTGAGCATGCCCCTCCCCCCCTTCTGGTTTTTAATGAATGCAGGTAGCAGTGTGCAAGGAACAAGAATCAGATGCCTAAAAAGCATAGTCTTTAACCCATTAGTTCTAATTCAAGGAGATTATACTAAGGGAATAATCAAAGATAACCCAGAAATTTAGTGAGCTCAACTTAATTTTCATGATGGGGCAGAATTTTTTTTATTTTTTATTTTCTACGATGTATCTTCTGCACCCAGAACAGGGCATGTAGTATCACAGATAATCAGTGAAGATTTGACTGAACGAATGTGTAATATTTTCTATTGCAGTTATTTACAGTGAAATAATGCAAATAACTAGTACCCAATAGAGTGCTTTGAAAAAGAATGGTTTAGGCTGAGCGCCATGGCTCACACCTGTAATCCTAGCACTGTGGGAGGCCAGAGCAGGTGGATTGCTTGAGAAAGGAATGAAAGAAAAAGAGAGAAAGAGAGAGAGGGAGGGAGGGAGGGAGGGAAAATAGTGCAGGCTGACCACAGCAGCTCACATCTAAAATATTAGCACTTTGGGAAGCCGAGGCCAGATGATCACTTGAGCCCAGGAGTTTGAGACCAGCCTGGGCAACAAGGCAAGATTCCATCACTAAAAAAAATTTTTTAAATAAAATAAAATAAAAATGTGCTAGGTGTGGTAGTCTACACCTGAGGTCCCAGCTACCTGGGAGGCCAAGGTAGAAGGATTGCCAGAACCCAGGAGTTTGACGCTGCAGCAAACTATAATGGCATCACTGCCCTCAGGCCTGGGAGACACAGGGAGACCTTGTCTCAGAAAAACAAAAACAAACAAACAAACAAAAACTAGATATATAACATACAGTTTATCCACTAGTCTCTGACCAACCATAAAAAGAGCCCACTATAGAAAAATATGCAGTGGCCAGATGTGGTGGCTCATGTCTGTAATCTTAGAACTCTAAGAGGCCAAGGCAGGTAGGTTGCTTGAGCTCAGGAGTTTGAGACCAGCCCAAGCAAGAGTGAGACCCCGTCTTTAAAAATAAGCCAGATGTTACGGCAGGTGCCTGTAGTCCCAACTACTCAGGAGGCTGATGCAAGAGAATCGCTTGAACCCAGGAGTTTGAGGCTGCTGTGAGCTATGACATCACTACCCAGGGTGACAGAGTGAGACTCTTGTCTTAAAAAAAAAAAAAGAAAGAAAAATATGAATAAAATATGAATGGCTATGACCTAGAGATAAGTGCAAAAGAGCAGGCATGACCTCCAATCCCTGGAAAGATGTCCACGCCTCCATCAAACCTGCATGTGCAGCCAGATGGACCGGACGAGAAATCTCACCGTTACCAGTCACTCAATGCATGTGACTTGGGCACATTCATTTATTTATTCAGCAAATATTACTGAGCAGTGACTGTTGCACAGGGCACTGGCCTCACTGCTGGGCTGCAGGGGAAAGAGGCCCTGGCCTCTTTTGAGCCACAGGTAACTCATTGGAAAGTTGCCCCCAACCCCAGCTCAGCAGTCCTCCAGAGTATGTGGCTTCCCAGTGACAAACAGGCTATGTGGCTTTCCCTATCCTTGAGGCAACAGATCAACCAGTCTGTAAGAAAGACAAGGACTTACTGGGTGGTGTGGCGATGCGGAGAGTCCACGCTTGGCCTGCCCAGCTGCCAGGTGCACCTGCTGGGGGCATCAGGTCGGAGCCACAGACGCTCCTTGGCTTCCGAATCCCCTGAGGGCCCCTTCTCCAGGCTCCCTGTCCCAGAGTGTGCCCCTGAGAGGTAGGGGCACCCTGCAGACCCCTCTTCTGTCCGAGGTTTCTCAGAAGGCATGCTGGGCTCTGGCAAAGGCAGGGAGAGATATTCAGGCTCATGATTTTGGACCTGCAAATCCTGCCCATCTGCCTCCACTGGTGCAGGACGCCACTTGTTCAAATAAGTGGGCAAGCACAGGCATAGAAACACAGCCAGATGCAGTGTACAACACTCTAGACGTTTCTCAAAAGGTTAAACACAGGACTACCATACAACCCAGGAGTTTGATTCCTAGGCATATATCCAAAACAAAAAAAAAAAAAGAAAAGAAAACAGTATTTGTACACCCACATTCATAGCAGCATTATTCACAATGAATTCATGATTCCTTTGGCTCAGGATAGCCAAAATGCGGAAGCAACCCAAGTGTCCAATGTGGTTCATACACACCATAGAATATTCAACCATAAAAAGTAATGGAATTCTAACACATGCTACAACAGGGAAGAAGCTTGAAGACATTGTGCTAAGTGAAATCTGCCAGTCACCGAAGGATAAACACCGCGTGATTCTGCTTGTATTCAGCACCTACAGCAGGCAAATGTCCTACATCTGGCTGATAGGTTTGCACAACATGCAAGTTCACAGATACAAAAAGTAGAATGGAGGCTGCAAGGGGGTCTGCAGTGATGGGAAAGGGAGACTTACTGATTCACGGGTACAGAGGTTTTGTTGGAACAATGGGAATGTTTCGGATACAGATAGTGATGGCAGTTGAACAACACTGTAAATGTATTTAATGCCACTGAATTGTACAGTTACAAATGGTTAAGACAATAACTATTATGTTATATACATTTTACCCACAACTTAAAAACCCACAAGCATTATATAATAGCTAATGCACACACACAGACAAGAGAAGAAAAGAGAGTAAGAGTTCTCCAGGGAGAGACCCCATATGGCTGCAACCCGATCTCTCTGCTCTGGGGGACAATGAATGGATAGCACTCCCACCCCCACCCCGTCATCTTCAGGGACCAGGGCTGGATCCTCTTCAATTTTCACTTTCTACAGGAAGATAAGTCCATAGCCACGTGCCTCAGCGTCACTCACCTGACTGATGACTTTGATAATTCGCCACAATTCAAACTCTGTAAGAGACATGACAATAAAATGTAATGTGGGATCTGGAACAGAAAAAGGAGAGCAGAGAAAACCACACAAATCTGACTCAAGTACAGACTTTAGTTAACAATGAAATTAATGATGATTCCATGACAGTGAAATCAGTTAATTAGTTGTAACAAATGCACCATATTACGGGAAAATCATGTGTGTGTGAGGAGACTCTCTGTACTAACTTCCCAATTTACCTGCAAATCAAAACTGCTCTAACACCCTGGCTCCTACCTATAACTCCAGCACTGTAGGAAGCCAAGGCAGGGGCAGGTGGACTGTTTGAGCTCAGGAGTTCCAGACCAGCCTGAGCAAGAGACCCCTAAAAATAGCCAGGTGTTGTGGCAGACAGCTGTAGTCCAAGCTACTTGGGAGGCTGAAGCAAAGAGTTGCTTAAGCCCTAGAGTTTGAGGTTGCTGTGAGCTATGACACCATGGGACTCTACCCAGGGAGACAAAATAAATAAATGAATAAAACTGCTCTAAGAAAAAGAGTCTATTAAAAAATAAGTTGCTATCCTCGTTAGTATAAGTGGCGAGAGAAAAAACAGACAAAAAAAAGTAAGTTGCTGGAGCCCTCTGGGTGTGTAAGGTCCCTGCTAGGAACTCACCCTAGACACTGTGGCTCAGGTGGTCTCTGCACCCAGCCTCCACCCGGCCTGCACCTGCCCTGCTTCTGCAGGCAGTTTGCTCCCAATGGGCTGAAGGTGCAAAGACTCCTTCCCCAGAGTTGTAAGTGAAGTGGAGGCTGTGGACGCCCCCCTTCCCAGGACCCCACCCCTCACCACCCACCAGCAAGAACAGAAGGAGGCCCCTCCATCCATAGCTCCCATCCCCTAGCACAGGTGGCCAGACCAGCACCCAACACATGCCCACAGCCCCACAGGGCCAGGGAGGTGGGTGGTGGGTTGGAATACGCACTAGACTGGGGCTGGTTTGGCCTCAAATGTACCCAAGGAGTGGTGTTTTCAGGGTCTGGGGATTATGGATTTATTTTAAGAATCAGGCTCGGCACCAGTAGCACAGCCGTTAAGGCACCAGCCACATGCACCAAAGCTGGCAGGTTCAAACACAGCCTGAGCCAACTAAACAATGACAACTGCAACATTGAAATAGCCGGGCATTGTGGGGGGCGCCTGTAGTCACCGCTACTTGGGAGGCTGAAGCCCCAGGAATGTGAAGTTGCTGTGAGTTGTGACATCACAGTACAGAGAGCGACATAGTGAGACTCTGTATCAAAAAAAAAAAAAAAAAGAATCCAAAGGCTTTGGACCTTCTCTTCCCCAGAAAAATGCACCCATTTTCACCGCTCCATGTCCCTCCTGAAGCCACCCAGGGATGTCCCTTGCTTTCTTTCCCCAATCTTTTCAAGAGCTCTGCGTGGAAAGGCGCCTTCGGCACGAGATGCACCGGACTCGCCCCCGAGGTGATTCTCCCACCTTGCACAAGGCCCGGTCCTTTAAAGGGGGCACTCGCGGCGCCCTGGCCCAGTGACCCGGGCCCAAGCCCCCTTTGGGCGACTTGCCTCGCCTTGGAGCAACCTCTGTCCAGTTAAGGGGCTGCTGGGAACACAAATCGCAGGCAGCCGGGTCTCGGAGGGACGCAGGGCGCTCGGCGGGAAGCTCGCTAGGCAGCGGGGTCCAGGTCCCAACCCTCCGGCTCCCGCCCGCCAGGCCATGTTCTCGCAGCCGGGCAGGTTCACCTGGCGCCGCCCGGCGGCTCCCGCAGGACCGCCTCGGGGACACAAGGCCCCAAGGGCGCCCCTGCACGCGCGCCAATCGGCTCAGAGGAGTGGAGTAAACTCTCCAATGCGAAACTTTCCAGGTAAAGGGGCGATGCCCTGCACAGGACCTGGAAACCTCCTGGCCACGTGGCTTTCCGAAGGACGCTTTGGCACAAACTTTGGGACAAGTACACCAGGAAATCGTCGACAAACGGAAAACTTCGCGTCCCCGCCCCTCCTCCCCCCAGTGCGTTCTCGGGCTCAGCCGCCGCCTCACCCGGGCTGCAGCTCTGAGGACCCTCTCGGCCCCCCAAACACGGCCAAGGCAGGGCTCTCGTGGCCTGCGTCGCCGCCGTCGGGGACCCACCTTGCGTGCCGCCCGCGCAACTACATCGACATTTACCCCAACCCCACACGATCTGCGGGAAAGCAATTTGCAAAACAGCCATTTCACACCCAAATGCAGCGAAAAATCAATGATCGGCACCAAAACGTAGCATCGCCCTCAAAATTTCCACCCCCGGTCGCAGCCCGACGTTCAGGAGTTCGAGGCCGGCGGAGTCCGCCGTGGAGTTGGGGTGGGGGCCGGGGACAAGTGGACGTTCAGCCCCCGGCTTCAGGGAAGCCCGGAATCGCGGGCGCCGAGGGGCGAAAGGAAAGGTACGACGAGGCGCGAGGTCCCCGGGACCAGCGCGGCCCCGCGCGTCCAAGTGCAGATGACGCAACTCCACGCGGAGCGCCGGGGACATGCAGGCGGGGGCGGGGGCGACCGCGGACCCCAGTGGGATCCTCAACCTGCGGCCGGACTTGGGGCTGGCCCGGTGGGCGCTCACCTCAACAGAAACGCCGCAAGAAGCGGTGGCGGGACTGATCCGGCGAGGCAAGCTACGGCCGGGAGAGCTGTGAGACCGGGACCGCGACCCCGGGGCTGGACGGCCTCCAGGGACCGGGCGGTCGAGCGTGAGAAGAAGGCGATTGGCCGCGAGGCGGGGGCGGAGGGCCGGCGCCCGCCAATGTCGCGCCTCAGTCCGGGCCACGTCCCCTCCCGCCCCTCCCCTCCTCCCTGTCCCCCGGCTCTACCCCACCCACACCCTCAGCCCACCCCTACTTCCCCCTAACGTCCGGGAGCCCCTTGTCCACCCCCTCCCCCACGCTGCCCCGCCCCCCTCCCCGCAGACGCCTCTGCCCCGCCCCCGCCCTTCCGCCCTGCCCCTCCTCCCCAGACCCGATCTCTACCCCACCCCCACTCCTCCCTGACGCTCCGGAGCCCACCCGTCCACCCCCTCCCCAGCGCTGCCCCGCCCCCCTCCCCGCTGAAGTCCCGCCCCGCCCCCGCGGATCCGGGGATCGTGCGTGCGCCGGTGCGGGGTTTCCATTCTGTCTTCCTCGGTTCACTTCTTGTTCTTCTGGAATTCAAGAAACGTTTACTGACAAGTCTTAAATAGTGCGGTCTTGAAAAAGGGAGCGGGTTCGGGGGCGCGGGGCTCGAGAGCCCGGACCCCGTGGTCGCGGCAGGGCCAGGTCAGGACTTGTTTCCCGCCCTACATCCCCGCGCCGCCCAAAGGCCCTGGGCGACGGGCAGACTGCCTGCGGGGCTATCAGACGGCGGCTCTCAGTGTCTGCCCCGTCCCCGACGTAGAGGGCTCCAGAGGCTGACCGGAGGGTCCCAAGCCCGGGCACTCCGGGGCCACCCGGAGGCCGCTAATAACAGCATCTCAAACACTGCTGTTGTCGACTTTTTAAGGAGGTTACATCGTATGCCCCGTGGCTGCATGGAGAATCCCAGACCCGTGAGTCATTCCCAAGACCTGCGGCCAGTGGCCAGTCAGGCGGTGTCCCCAGGTTCTGACAGAGGCCTCTGTACCTCCTGGACTGCCCGCAAGGGTTTCTCCGCGGCCACCAGTGAGTGTGACTCAGACTGGCGGGGGCTCTGTCCTCTGTACTGGGGCCAAGAACAAGGCATACTTCATGGGAGCATTTACGCAGCAGAGAACAAGGCATACTTCATGGGAGCATTTACGCAGCAGAGTAGACAGGAATGGGAGGCAGGGTCAGGTCAGGCGGTCAGGAAGAGTCTCTCAGGACAGGTAGCCTTTGAGCTGAGGCCACATCTTCTCTGGGGTAGGAACGTTCTGGGCTAAAAACCACTCTTACAAACGCCTGGGGCAGGAACTGTGGGGGTCCCAGAACTTAGACCAAGGTCAGGGTCTGCATTTCAGCCTTGCTGAGGCACACTGGGCCTGAGGCAGGGTCGAGCTAGCAGTTTTCACATATACTCAAATGTTTGTTTTAAATTTGGGCATCATTTCAGACTATCATAAAAATGGCAGGAACATTACAAAGGATTTCTCCCAGTTTCCCAAATGACAGCTGCTTACTCACCCCTGGGACCTGTGAACCTGAGGTTATTTGGAAGCAAGGTCTTTGGGGACACAATCAAGTTAAAAGCAGTGGAGCCAGGTAAGATGTGTGTTTGAGGAAAGAGTTGTTTCAATCTGATCCAACCCTTATAAAAAAAAAA